CACCACCACCACCACCATCACCACCACCACCCCATTACACATCAACATTCATCCACCGCAAGCACCCAACTGCCACCACCCATGCAAGTGGGAAGTGTGCATCTCGACTCGATCCCCATGCGGCTTCGGCTGCACGGGTGACTTGAGTCTGAGACTATCCCGACACGTCAAGCGTCGTGGATAGGAAGGTTGCTGATCGATGTCCCCACTCGGTCCACGCAGTTCGTCCCATTGTGTGTGTGTGTCGTGTGAAGTGGCGGACTGGTGGTCTGGGGACTGGCGGCTGGGGTATGGGAAGTGAGAGTGAGGTCGACGACTCATCGCACTTTCTCCTCACTATAAACAATCTGATGCGCTTGAAGCTAACACGGTGCGCTAAAACCCGTGACTTGGAAGGTTGCCAACCGACGGGATAACTCGGACCTCATTGACTGGAGGTCTGAGAGTCAGGCTGCAACGGCTCCTTCTTAATGTGGCCATTATGGTATTCCCACCACAGTGTGAGATCCGAAGCAGGCGTCGGGGGCACGCCTGGGTGCGGCTTCGGCCGTGCCAGCCTCCAACTCTCTGTTGTGTTGGTTGAAATCCTGGTTATTTGTTGTGTGGACCAGGGGGTGTGGTGGAACGCCAAGGTGAGGATCCGTCCGAGCAATCCATCTGCGGCCTCCATCGTCTCCGGTCTTCTTGACTCTCTCTTGACACCGGGCTAGGGCGAGGGAGGAGGAGAGAGTGTAGGTAGATGCAGCGCAAGTCTACCGGCACTATAAAACCCAGCGCAATTCACCGTCCCTGCTCCCACCGCTGCTGCTGTGGGGCACACGGTGGACATCATCGAAAGCAATGGTTGAACTAACATGTATATATGTGCTATTCAGCCCTGGTGTTATAAATATACAAATTGTTTATCGTTTTGTACTGAATATCCAAAGTAATTATAAAGCGTAATTACTGTGGTCGTCACCGAATCACATATACAAGCGCATTAAGCGCTAGACGAAGGCATATTATGAAGCCACTGAAGAGCCTGAGTCTGAGGTTCTCTCATCGTCGACGGCAGTTGGAAATTAATTCACCGAACGAGAAATGCCCATACTTAGCTCATCCGCAGCTACGTTCAGTGGACATAATCAGATGCTTTTTCTATGATTTATAAGCCATTTTTGATAAATTAATTCCTTTTAATGCAAAAGAAGGTACAATGATTGGTGATTTGAAACATAACTTTCGATGCAAATACGCTTCAAAATGCTTTAATCCAGAGGGGCCCCGGCCCCACCCAGCCCTTTCTCAGCCACACCTATGAAAGGGCTATGTGCTGGCAGGGTCTGTGAAGAATGACTACTTATGTAACATGCACGTTTCCAATTTGTTTTCGATGCCCCTAAAATTCGATTGTATTTCACAGAAAACATGTATAAAAATATTCATTCGTTTACTCTTTCGGTAGAAAATGACGTCTTCTTCCATTTTTATTCTGGAAGGAAGGGTATAATTCAGGTTTTAAAAACTTTTCCAATTCCCGAACAGTTTTGATCCCGACCTGCCGTTACACTTACATTTAGGATTTCCAAACCACGAGCCGAATATTTTCCATGTACGGAAAACCATATATTTCTATATGGTATTAAGAGGAGACTATATGGAGTTTATAAAATCTAAGAGTGGATCTAAGACATTGCTAACTTAAGAAGCCACATTGGTAAACACGGAAACATGAAGTTTTCTGAACGGCCATTTCACCGTCTAAAAAAATCTCACAATTAGAAACATTTTGAAAACCGAATTATACCCATCCTTCAAGTGTGACATTTGAAGAAGACGTAATTGTCTACCGAATGAGCAAAAGAATGAGTATTTTTATGCATGTCTTCCATGAAATACAATTGAATTTTTAAGGGCATCGAAAATCAATGAGAAAAATGCAGGCTAGTTGAGCAGCCATTTTTACAGGGTATACTTTTTCGCATCCGGCCGGAGAGCAGTTCGTTCGAAGGCCCGCATCTTGAGATTATTGTAGCATTATAGAATTACGCTGCATGGTGATTTGTTTTACAACCCTAATTAATTAATCTTCTCGAAACGAAAACGCATTTCGCAATTGCGATTGACATTTTATGGGTGAGCCCACCTACTGCATGTGATTTCTTTTATAGTGACAGCCGACTTATACAGCATCCACCACACTCCCTCCACCTCGCCCACCGAGTCCCATTGTTAAGGCAAAGTCAAGAAGGCCGGAGGTCAGACAGGATGCAGATGGCTGACGCGGCCGGAGCCAGCCCTAGGCGTGCCGTCACACCTGGCTCAGATCCCACGGAGTGGGAGAACCATAAGCACCACAGTAAGAAGGAGCCATTGTGGCCTGACTCTCAGACCACCTGTCGGCCGCTCCACACTAACACAGCACTGGGTCGACTGCGAGGTTTAAGTTATCCCGTCAGTTGGCAACCTTCCCAGCCACGGCTTTTAGCGCACAGCGATAGTGTCAGCCTCGGAGCACATATGCAGCAGAAGAGCCGCATGGAGACTGAGTCGTAACACACACTTCCCACTTGCGTGGGAGGTGGCAGTTGGATGCTTGTGATGGTGATAGATTATATTGCGTAATGTGAGTGGGAGGGGGGAGAATGTGATGATGTGATTTAGCTGGCGGTTGTCTGTTGCGGGTTTTGTGAATGTGCATGTGGCCTAGTAGGTCCATGCGGTGGGTGAAGGTGCAAGTGCAGTGAGGGCAGTTGAGGCGGTATGTGGATGCTCCAGGCATTGGTTCGCCAGTCTCTGTGGGTTTGGGCGACGCAGAGATCATATCGAGAAGAAGCCGTTGCAGCTTGATTCTGAGTCTACCAGTCCGCCACTCTACATAAGGGCACACACAACTAGCCCCACTGCGTGGACTGAGTTGAGGCGTCAGCCGGCAACCCTCCAAGCCACGACGCCTAGCGCATCGTGATAGTCTCAGGTTCGGACCACACATGCAGCAGGGAAACCACAAGACGAAGGAGCCAATTCCCACTTGCGTGAGAGGTGTCTGTCGCGCACTTGCGTGGTGTGGTGATGGGTGATGTTGATGTATGTTGCAGGCGCTGATGGGAAAAGGTTTGATGAAGTGATATGATTGGTGGTTGTTTTCATGAATGCCATTTGACCTAGTAGGTCCATGCGGTGGCTAAGGTGTTCTAAGAGGTCGATTCACGCGTGAAATGTGCGTTGGTAGCGGAGGCATGTTGAAAGCGGCAGGCTGTTAGTATTGAGGAACCGAGACACCTGTGACTCGTGAGCCTCCCTTTTAGCTTTGGCGGTGGCGATCCGGTTTGCTTCGTCGATGACTGAACCAGTTTTCACTTTCTTTTTTCCATGTCGGTCTCTACTGCACGAGGACCTCCCAGGTCTCTGGGTTGATATGCGGCCGCCTCAGAGAATTCTTCAAAGTCGGTTTGGTCCTCCTAGTCGGCGAGCACCCGCGGCTGCATTCCCATAGAAGAGTTGCTTTGGTAGGCGCGTTTCGTCCAGATGCCCGCTTCATCGCAGTTGCAATTGTCTCAGAATTGCGTGGATTCCGGTCCGTTCCAGGACTTCCGCGTCCATCTTAGATTCAGTATTCTGCGGAGGCAGATGAGACGGGAGTGGCTAAGTTTTCCTGTATGTCTGGAGACGATGGTCTTGTACAACTTCCGTTTGTTATCCAGTTGAAGGCCGTGACGATTCGACACGGAGGTTTGGAGCCAGTCGAAGGCCTGGCTGGCTTCGGAGAGCCGACAAACAACCTCCTCGTCGATGTTTGCGCTGCGTGGAAGTGTGCTTCCTAGATAGGCGAAGTTGTCCACAATTTTGAGTTTGTTACTGTTGTATACAGCGCATGGTGATGGTTGATGTACGACCACCGTTTTGTCTGTATTGATGGTAAGGCCGAAGTTGGCACACCCGGCGGCGAAGAGGTCCGTGGTCCCTTACATGTCTTCTTCGGTCATGGTTTTTAGCGTGCGGTCGTCGGCGAGGAGCGGGTCGTCAACTGTGGTCGTAAATATCCACGTTGGAGCCTGCTGTCGGGGAGATTTCCGTCAGCTCTGTAGGCGATGCCTATCCCGGGACGCTCATCACGGTAGGCGTCCACCAGCATGACAGAGAACACGGGGCTGAAGAAGGTGAAGGCAGTTCCTCATCCCTGCTTCACTCCATTGGTCACTACGAAAGCTTCCGAGATCGTGCCGTTTTCCGTGACACGCGTAATAATCCAATCGTGAAGTTGACCTAACATGAGTGCAAATCGTTCAGGAAAACCGAATTTCTGCATGATTTTCTACAATCCTTCCAAATTTACCGTATCACAGGACTTCGTTAAGTCCAATAAGGCAGTGTAAAGGTGGATTCTCATCTCCGGAGGGTTCTCCTGCAGTTGGCGAGCGATATACGCCTTGCCAATGGTCCTGCTCTGTCGGCTGAAGCCACACCGGCTCTCGGGCAGTAGTCCCTGTTCGAGATGACTGTTGAGGCAGTTGAAGGAAGGCAAGCGAAGATCTTCCCGGCGATATTGAATAGTGAGATGCCTCTGTGATAAGCAGAGAGTTGCTGGCCCCCTTAACGTTTGTAAAGATGGAGGATGGTCGCGTCCTTAAAATCCTGAAGGACCTGTGCACAGAGCCAAATCTTCCAGATTAGCATCATGAATTGGTCCATCAGTCGATGGCCACCGTGCTTGTGGATTGCAGCTGGGACCACATCGGAGCCAGATGTTTTTCCACTGGAGAGTTGCTAAATGGCGAGAATGGTTTCTGGAAGGGAAGGCGACAGATCCAGATCGATATTGATTCTCACTTGAAAGAGCTGAACGATGGCGACCTCGGAGATTGTAGAGGAGCGGTTGAGGACGCTTTCAAAGTGCTCGGCCCAGCGCACGAAAATCTGCGACTTCGTCGTCAAAAGCGTTGATCCACCAGAGTTGAGAAGCAGCGCGGTTGCTTTGGTTGGGAGACCGTGGGCCGTCTTGATCGCACCGAAGCAGTTTTCCGCTTCATTGCACTCGCCATATCCCCGAATCTCTCCGGCCTTGCAGGCCATCCAGGCGTCCTACACTTCTCGCAACTGTTGCTGAGCTGGGCGGCAGCATTGGTAAAAGACCGCATTGTTTGAATTGGTCAGACCGTCAGTGTAGGCTACGTGCAGCCTGTTCTTTTCGGCAAGCAGGTTGGTGATGATTACGTCGTTTTCGTCAAATCAATCCTGGTGCTGACGACGTGCGCGGCCAAGGGCACCCTAGGTGGTCAAATGGACGGTGTCCTACAGTTGACACCATCGAACCTTCACGAGTGCGGTTACATATGGGGCTTGCAGGCCTTCCAGGTGTCTGCTGAAATGCAGACGGCGGGTAGACAAAAAGGACAAAGCGGTACTTAACGTACCTGGTAGTCGCTTGCCTTGTGACCTCCTGTAGGGTTGCAGGGTGGGCCTAATCTTGAAAATGAGGAGACGATGGTTCGTCCAGCCATCGGTGTCGCAGATCGCCTTGGTCCCCATAACGTCCTGCCAATCTCACCTCCGAACGAGAACGCAGTCCAACAGCTACCAGCGTCACGATCAAGGGTGCATCCAAATCGTCCTGTCGGTTGCGATCGGGTATATAGAATAGTAGAGGGACGCTCACCAACGACGAGCCCGTGGCTCAATGGCTAGTGGCGTCGGACTTCTAACCAACAAGCCGTAAGGTCGAGCTTCAGGCGCTGTGCACCTCGGGGCTGAGTATGATTGGTTCACGATGGCCAATAAGCCAGAAATAGCCATTCAAATCTCCCTTGCCTTTGCCGGTAATGTGATTCTGACGATACTAAGTCACATTCGAGTGACATGTATCGGTCTATCCTGACAGCAGAACATATGCAAACATTTGCGGTCGGTCTCACAGCCAAGGGTCTACATTTCACGTAAGCTGTCACAAGGCTAAGAATTGGGAGAAATTTTGTTTAAATGAACACTAAAATGACTGCTTCTGATCTGTTTGTCGTGATCATGATGGGCCGGATCATCCACTAAAAGACCTACGAAAATGCGCATTTCCGTCCAGCAATCATGTCAGATCGGCGTACGGCACTTGCATTTGACTTCCTTGATGTGGCTTAACTACCAGTGATGCAACAACGTTGTTTAAAGCAACGCTTAGCGTGATCCAAGAAATAATATAATAGATGAACCAAAATGCAAATTTCTGTACACTGACACGTGC